GATATTGTCCAGTTTCTTTGTCTTTGTAGGTTTCTGTTGGTTTGAAAGTCTTTTAAAAAACAGAAAACACCCCACTGAGCAAAGTAATGAGGAGAATTAATTAAACCAAAGCATGGGCGTGAGGGGGGGGAGAATCTGTAGTTGAAGAATCCAGATGGGAGCTGTTATGAAAGTGAACAGTGTGACCTCAAGTTGAACAGATGCAGAACAACAGCTTTATCTCATAATATCAAGACAGCAAATTTCTGAAGAAACTGTTCTTTACAAATTCAAAGAAAAGTGATTCAAAGATAATGTAATGCTAAACGCCTATTTTAAGAATGGTATCATTGTAGTTTTCCCTGGACTAAAACCAAATCATGTTTACTCTGCTGAATACTGAATGCCAGTTGTGTTCTATGCATGTATTTAACAGATGTAGCCTGAGCATGTCCTCTGCAGGAGGTGGATTTCCATAGGCTACATTTTCACCCTATAATTCTGATCTGCAAACTGCTGCTAGTTAATGTAGTGGACTAAGCCTGGAGCACAGTAGAGGAGAACGCAGTCATGTTTGCCCATAACAGATGCTTCCATTATTCCATTCTTTCTTACCACTGAATCACTGTCTCCATGAGATGACCGGCTGCCTTTTGCGGGCCTCTACCACCTCTCTGTGGTCAATGTGAGGTATCTGCAAAGGTCTAAATGGAAGTTGTGTGCTGTGCTGCAGTCTCATATTTGAGGGCATGAAAAGCAAGAAATAGAAAAATAGAAATCCAGAAAAAGCATTGAACTGCTTTGGTAGCTCACATGTTACAGATCTCTACAAACACCTGCTCAGTTTGCAATCATAATTTTTAATCAATTTAAAGGTACAGTGTGTAGAATGTCTAGTGTTGATATTCCATTTTGCAGCTGAACACCCCTCACCTCACCCTCTCCGTCCAAAAGTAAAAAAGAACCTGTGGTTGCCTTTAGTTGTCATGAAAACTCAAAAGGTGTTTAGTTTGTCCAGTCTGGACTAATGTAAAAAAACATGGCAGCCTCTGTAGAGAGGGTCCCCTCAGTGTAAATACAAAGTATTTAAATATAAAGGGCCTTTTCTGTGGTAAAGAAAACTACAATTCATACAATTTAGATGAAATGAACTAGTGAAAACATCATGAGGATATTCTACATAAAATTTCTGCCAATAGTTCCATTTCACCTAAGTCTTACACACTGGACCTTTAAGTAAATGCAGTAAACAGAAATGGTGACCAAAATTGGTGTGGACACTTTACAATCTAAAATAGATTAATGATTAATGTAGACACTCATATGTATAAAGATGGTGTTACTATATACATTTTTGGAAGTTAATATTGCATCTGCCTCTGTGTTTGTCACAGAATTAAATCTAAATGATTTATCTCCTCCAAGGATAAGTTTAGCATTGTCTTTAATATTGTGAGATTGGATTTTTTTTTTTACATTTTTGAAAACAATTTGCTGAGCTTGACTGAATTTAGGGGGACAGTTAGGTATTGGTGGAGGTATGCACTCTAATGAGTGCTATTTAAGTTCTCTAGCAGATGGCTTAAACCTGTAAATTACAAAATACAGTAAACTTCCCGAGTATTAACAAAGTGGCTTGTTACACATCTCTGCCACATTCCGTACAGGAAAAATAAAATGGGAGGACTTCTTTGTTGTTGCTGAGTGCAGGTCCCTAGCAGATTAAATTTATAGCAAAAATAGCTATTGAATGGGCTCACTTGGGCTCAGCACTAACTAAAAGCATTAATAAGGCGGAAAGTTTGGAGTCCAACCTGTTCAGGTTTGAACTGAAGGGCAGAACAGAGGAGTGGTGACAAACAGTAGTTTGGAAAAGTTCAAGGTAGACGCTTGAATATGTTTTTAGAATGAATATTCACAAAGTCCTCCAACAAGAAGAGGTATGACGGCTGGCTGAGCAGAGCAGGAACTGGATTCAGGCATCTAACCTGAATCCTAAGCACAAGTAAAACAAAACAAAGCAGGGATTAATATTCAGGCAGGCAGGCAACAGAACGTCTGGCAAGTTAAGGTTATGCTGCAAGTGGAGAATGACTATCTGGCAGTGTCTTGATGACTGAACCAGTCGTTATATATACACACATTAGGAGGTAGTGGCGTTTATTAGGAGGTTGCCCGCAGGGATGTTAAATTAATTGATGGGAACGTTGAATCTGGAAGCCAGACTCTGCAAGCAACAACCAGGAAGTCCATAAGCTGTAGAGCTGGTGTCTACATCCCAAACCCAAACTGGGAGCTGACTCTACTGGAGAGGAGCCTGGCAGCCGAAGTGAGCCTGTAGTCTGACAGTCAAGTGAACGTCTTGGTATAACATGGTACTATGATCTCTTTAAGATGTTGTGAGGCTTGGTCATTAAAGTATTTGTATACATGGATTGTAAGCTTATATGGAAGAATTGTGATCTCTAATTCTTGTCAGTGCTCATGCTGCCTCACTTGGGATCAAATGGAGGCTTTTCACAGACTTATTGGGACATGCTGATAATAAAGAATCACATTTGTTCTGTCTGGACATAACAAATACATGGGCTGGTTTTTTTGGAATCCCTTTGAGACAGGGGTTTTAATAATAGAGGCTTGTTTTGTGCTGTAGTCAAAGGACGAGTCCTGGTCAAACAATGTCCAGGTTTCATTACAATAGAACTAGAGCTGAAGGTTATATCATCCAAAGATACAATATGATCAGTGTTTCTTCATGGTGTTCAGGGCCAAATACAATGACTCCAAATGTAAAAGTAAAGATTAAAGGTCCTTGTTATCTCTAAAACATTCCTGAAGTTCAAGTTCTTGGTTAGTTTATCTGGCTTCAGAGTTGAATACAGCACTTTCTAATAGCACTGCCTCAAGGTAGCATTTATAAAGTGAAATGTATTGGTCGCAGTCTAAGTGTATTAAATGTGAACTGACAAGAGTCTCTAGGCAGGCAAAAAGAAAGTTCAACTACATGAGGAATCACAAAGGAGTTGAACAGAAGTACAAAGTTAAACCAGAGGGATGAACTGATGAAATGACAAAGAGGACTGAGAGCACAGAGACTATAAATACACAAGGGCAATTGGGATGAGAAAAAGCATGTTAGAGCAGGATAGACAATCACAAAGCTGGGGAAAAAAGACATAGACAGGAAATAAAACAGACACACAAGGAAAGAAATAACAAAAAACAAACCTGAAATAAAAGGCTTTAAAAATGTCCCTTATAGGTCCAGATCATGACCTTCTCCTGCAACTCCTTCAATCCTGATAACATGCTACAGTCTTTTTGAATCTTCTGTAAAATGCAGCACTAAGATCCAGCAGAATAATTAAGAAGTCAAGTAAATAAGGTTTAAATAATCAGATAGTTGATTTGCTACAGTTTTTATGGATTTTAGAAATGAAGGGGAGGTTTGTTGTGAGTCTATAATCGCTAGAACATTTGGGTCAAGCGTTTACTTTTCAAGCGGAAGGTTTAATTACTGCAAATGTCTAATGTATGTAACCTAGCTGTTAAAAAAAAATATGGAAGTGGTGGTAAATGTAAAACGCCCTTTACCAGTCGAGCTGGAACAGGGTGTAAAAGACACATTGATGGTTTCAGTGAAGAAACTGCAGCCAGCTCAGAGATCTATTGGAGAGAAGGAGTCCAAATACAAATCAGCCTCTACTGTAGATTCAAAGGCTTCTGTGCTGGACAATACATCCGTGCTAGCTGTGGGACGGAGGTGATGAATTTTCTCTCCGATGGTCACAGCTCATGAAGTCACATAAAGGAATAAATGGTTCAGTGAAGCTATCACACAGTGATGAAGACTTTTATTTTCTTCTGTTAATTATGATATGAAGCTAAAAGAAATACTATAGTTATTGTAATTTATTTTACCGAGATTATGTTTTCAACCCTGTTGCTTGTTTGTGTTTAGTTTATCATCGGGTTAACACAAAAACATTCGTGAAAGATTGATAATTGAATTAAAGTTCAGTGGCTGCAGGACAATTTCAATACTGAGTTTTGTGATAAAACAAGAAAGCATTTGATCCACTTCTCTGTCCTTAACTTCCCTTTTCCCTGCAGCTCTCGGTTTCGTCCCGGAAACGAGTAGCAATGAGGTTAGAAAGCGAAGACAAACTGAATGCTCCTTATGTTTGACATGACCCTCTGTCAGCTGATGTAGCTCAAATGGAGCATGTTCGGCCTCGGATAGATTTCAACTAAGATCGTGTTCAAAGTGCTTTTTAATCAAGTCCAAATTTCATCACCACCCATGCATTAAATTTATGAGTATGAAGTGTGAAAATGTGGAGGTACAGCATCTCATAGTGCATGTAAAATACATGCATTTGTCATTTACAAATAGCTTTTAGAGACATAGAATACAGAGATACAGAAGAGAAGAAAATCGATTCTCTTCTCTTGTCCTCATTCTTTACTTCCTTCAGATAATCACAATTTAAAACACACCATTAAAATCAAGGGTAAAGTATTCAAGTCTGTATTTGTTTGGTGCAGCTGTAGACATTTTACTACAACAGAGTATTAGGGCCATTTTGAAGGAAAGATTTAATTCGATTCTAGATTAAAGTACTTTAAAAACAAAACAACTCTCTTTAGGAAATAAGCGGCAAGGAGAAGCTGGGCTCACTAGAGTTCCATTCCTTCTGCCTTCTGGATGCAAAATCTTGAACCACTCTCATTGTTCATTGAGAAACTATGAAATCCCTTTTAACAGCACACAGATGTGACCAACTATACAAACATTTCCTTCTCCGCAAAGCAGCATTTATTGCTGTAAATGATAAATACATTCAAGAAAATGAAACAGCAGTGCACGTGTTTGATATATTCACATGTTTTGAAATGTTTTCATGGATAAAAATAAAATGGGGAAATAGAATCCTGTTTCTAAAGAAGAGAAAAGAAAAGAAAGGCTGCTAAATGAGTAAACCGAAAAGGAAAACGACTACCGCAAAGGCGGTCACTGTGTTTGTGTTGAGAAGCATTAGCTCCTCCCGCCCGGGGTGTCCAGGCTTCAGCTAACGCGCTCACCCCAGACACCCAGGAAGTGACAGCAGTGGATCACAACAAACAGCGGAGGCTCGCTGTGTTTCCTCTCCGAGCTCAGATTCGCTGTATTTCTGCCTCAGTCCAGCTCCTCGGCTGCTGTTCTGACGGTTTCACGATGTCTGTCACCACCGACAGACGAACACTGAGCCCCTCGCTTTGTGTTGCTGTCGCTGTGCTGTGTGTTAGCATCGTTAGCCTGGGGGAATGCCAGACTACTCCAATACCAACAACTCGTAAGTTGACGAATACTTGAGGAATTAGTGATCAGTAACCTCACAGCCTGCTAGTCTGGCTTGTTAACAAGAGACTTTAACTTTAATTCTCCAGTGTTGTTAAACTACGTCATGTGGCTGTCATGGCTCTGCGTCGCTTTGCCTTTTTTTTGTGAGTTAAGTTTCTGTTCATGTGTTTCAGCCTGCTCTGCCTTCAGGAACTGTGACACCTGTGTTCCTCATGCCAGGGTAAGATTATGATGATAAGAAGGGCACGGCCAGACCTTTGCTCAGTCTGTGGCGACATGGCTCTTTGTTTGCCTGCACATTAACCTCCTACATCACCATCACAAACACTATTCATTCATCATCATGGTGGTTAAAGTCAAAACAGCAGCGACAGGAAGGAGGATTTGGGTTTTTTTTTCATGGTCTGTCTGCCACCAGATCCTTCCTCAAAATGATCTGAAGTGGAGCTGTGAAAGCTGTGTGACCTCCTTAGGTTCAGTGTACCTAACATAATTCTTGTTTGAAAACTTTAAAGATTATTAGATTGTTCATCAGAGATTCATCTTGTGTTTCTTTTCAAAAACAAGGAGTCATAATATCACCACCTCGCACTGAGTTAGCTGTTATCCAGTTACATCAAGAGAAGAATTAGTAGGTTAATCCCAAAGGAATGTCATGATTAATTGCAGACCTATCACAACTCATCACAATTCAGTCCTTGACATAAGTTGCTCACATTTGCGTTCAAAGACAAATATAATGGATAATGTCAGAAAAATTGAGTAAAATGATCATTTCAGTTCAGGTTGACGTCCTCACTTGACTTATATCCAACTAAAAGTCCAAAACCAAAGATGTTCTCCTTATTGTCACATAAAACTAAGGGAAACATTGTCATGCTTGAAAGCTGTAACTAGAGAATCCCATGTCTTTCAGTGGGTTCATGTTTTTTTTTTTGTCTTTACAGTGTCTTTGGTGCTTCACCACCAACAACTGCTCGGATTACCCAGTGAGCTGGCTGCTGCCCCCAGCATCAGTGTGCCCGCTCTCCCAGGCCCGATGGGGAATGTGTTGGCGTGAGTTGATCAATCAGATTATATTTGTCAAGTTTTTGTTTGCTTTCTTTGTTGTTACAGCCGTGCAACATACAGTCACTAAACATAGAGGTTTGTATTTCAGATTAAAATCAAGACAGAGTGTGAAGATGGGTGTGGTCCAACCTGTTAGTAATGAGTACTCATATGATAATGTGCTAATGTTTACTGAGTTCTCACAAGTTGAATTGTCAACATATCGATGGCAGGGCTGTGTGATGTATGACCAAAATCTCACGTACATGTGGAGGTCATTTCATATTTAGATAATGATACCTGTTATACTTATTTAGAGCATTTGATTGTGTGTCCAAACTGTAATATAATAATCTTGATTCTGCTGCAGTAAAGAGTAATTAGTGACACAAATGTAAACAATTTATATCATGATAGATTAAATAATATGCATACAGTATACACAATATCCATTTAATTCTATTTGTTGGGCGTTGCAGCTTGTTTGAACCCACATCAGGATATCTTCATGAAGTGAAGAGAGCATCTACGCTGGTGCTCTTCAATGGATGTTTTCAGAAAATAGTAACATAAGAAATGAAAACTGATCCAGGGCCTGAACATCAGTCATTGCTATTATTAATAATTCCTGCCTAGACTGTATTCCTACAAACTTCCAATAAGAGCACAAGATTAAATAACATGTTATCTCTCTTAAACATATGCTTCCAGTCAGAGAGAAAATATACAGATAAAAAGATCAAACTGTGAAGATAACAGTCTTGTGCTGTTAATTCCACTTTAGCTGCATTGATATGAATGTTGTGACCACTTTTACAAAAAGGAACTAAAACAACTAGGGATTTAAAATATCCTAATTTGAACAGACTCTGTGTGTCTGTGCAGCCAGTGCAGCTTTTCTTTATAACAACAAGTTAATGTTAACATGTGCAAATAGCAGCATAAATAATAGAGGATTCAAACATCACCACACAACTGCAACTGCTGTGAAAACAGACCAACAGGCCTGCACAGTGTTTCCCATGAAGTACCCAGACTGTGGTGGTCCATCATAATCTAAATTGTCCTGCCAAAGTTACATATGTGTACTGACCCGAAACCCTACGCAGCGTCCAAGGTAGTAAACTATACAGAAATAATAAATAATAAATGCACTTTACCAACCTTTTTATTTTACCCATAATGTTCAGCTTTCTCTGTACAATGAACCAAGTGCCTTTGCTCACAACAAAAAGATCTGTGCTTTGTCCATGTGCTGAGAGGTAGAATTTTGGAGAACGTATTTATATTAGATCAAATAATGTAGATCATGTTGCTAGGGTAACGAAAATCCACAATGCCTTACAAAGTCTGTGAACTTACCTGCGTTCTTTGTCTCACTGTGGTAACCCTCATTACCAAGTGTGTTACCACTGACTTAGCAAAGTGAGTACTTCACTACTTTACCATCAAAAACTGGTTATTCTTATGCTCAAGGGATTTCCGGCTTCAACACAAAGTCTTTTTCATGTCCTAGTTCTACTTTCACTGGATTTGGAATTTAATTACAGGCACTAGCTTGCAATGTTGCAGAGAAGGCAGCAGGTGGCACCATTGCCAAACAAGTTCAATGTGCAATCTGAGTTTATGTGTCAGGTTTCCTTTAATCTGTATAACAGCAGAATAAATAATATTCTTATCATTCTTAGAATAACTAGTATTATTATAATTAGTAGAATAAACAGTATTAAATGCATGACTGTACAAATATGAATTGCTTGTTTCAGTAAACTTTGAAGCCCTGATCATTACCTTGGCTGTGCTCGGTGGAATCATCCTGATCAGCATTATCGCGTGCTGCTGTTGCTGCTGCTGCTGCAAGAAGCGTCGGCCAAGGTAAGGTTAAATGACAAGTCAAATCCTAAGTTTCAGTGCATGGGTTAATTATATCTTTACTTAAGACAAAGGATTTCTGAGCTGTTAAAGTGTGTTGCATATCATTTACAAAGGTACAGGCAGTAATGTAGTAATGAATTGTTTTTGGCTAGAAAACCTTGATCCCATTCATTATATTATTTGAAATCCTTGCATACACTGGGGGATGCTGAGAAAAAATAAAAACATTCAATAAACTCATGCACTGAATTGTTGCATGATTCTCAGCCTTTTTTTCCTGGTTGGATTACTTTGATATCTTTCATAATTTTTACATTAAATTCCATAACAGCTGGTTATAAAATACTTGTAATTCAACTTTGTGAGCCCTGCTTCAACACTCTAGAAATCATATACCAGTAGACTATGTTGAATAAGACTGTAAATGACTTTAGAGTTACATCATCAGCTCTTCGACACACAGAAACTGAACAACAATAAGTGTAAAAAAGATTCATTGCAGTGATATTGTAAATAGTATCTAATAAATAGGTAATTTGGGTCATACAAACACCAGTCCTTCTTTGTAAGAATACCATGTAACATCCTGTGTGATTACCAACCAGCTCCAATAGTTAATCATATGGAGATACTTTCTCAAATTCTTCCATGTTGTTGAGTTATTTTTTATACACAAACACACACACACACACATACATACAAACATACACATACACACACACACACACACACACATACATACATACAGGGGTGAAAACAACAACCCTGCTCACGCACAGTGAAGAATGATGATGATGATGATGATGCCGCATTTTAAAAAGAGAATATCCCTCAAGCAAATGTTGCAGTGTGTAGCTGCATGTAATTTGTCACATCCAGATAAGATTGTTCTATGGTTCTATGAACAGCAGTGAACCTGATACTGTTTGTGCCTTCTCATATCTTAAGGCCTGACAGAGATGAGGAGAGATTTGCCAGGAAGAGAGAAGAGATCAAAAACCGCGCTGAAGAACGGTAAGTCCTTCTCTCCAGGCTTAAGTGAAAACAGCCTGAAGAAGCACTCACAGATTAAAGTTGATTATTTAAATAGTGGCTTCACATGAGAGTATGTTTCTCTGCAAATACAACTCTCTAATTTAATGAGCAGAGAGCCGACCAGAGAAGGAAAACCATCAGGTAGAAGGATATTGGATTTAGAGAAACAATACAGCTTATATTTGCTGGATGTACAATATCTACTGTTTGTTGTAAACTGGCCCTATACAAAAAAAATTTAATAATTCTATGGCAACCCAAATGCATACAGTTATATGTGACAAAAGACATTTCAATATCAACACTTTTCAGGAATATCAGAGCAACTTTCAGTGAAGTATAGGTTTAAGGGTCCAATCGTGTTTGTCTGTGTCTCTGTTATAAACATGGATAATGTGTTGATGTTTGATCAAAACACCCATAGTTTTATTTGTTTTATGAAAAAAAATTACTAAATCCCATCTGGGATATCAGGGAAATGTGTGTACGAATGAACTGTGCAAAAGTGAGCCGGACCAGTAGCTCTGTCATAAACTGCAGGTTGATTTAGTGCAGCTGAGTCAAAAGTAGTCTATGCTGGCAAAATAGTTAGTCACTGTTGATATATGTTTGGCCAAAAAATCAAACTGAGAAAAGGCTATTTCTTCTCAATATTAGGAGTTATACATTTAAATCTAAGATGTTGTATGACAAATACCTAAATCCAAAGTTGT